ACACACACACACACACACACACACACAGCAAACTTCAGGTAACTATTTTGGATTGCAAACGAGGATAAATTTAATGTTCAAACAATCTGATAAAATAACCATTTGGAAACTGCTTGGCCTTCTGTTCTCTTTTATTTGATTGACTACAATGCGGTATTGGTCTCTTGCTGCACTTCAAAACCAACTAATCAACAAAATAAAACTTAAAAAACAAAAGTATATATATACATACATATATATATACTAGGACTCTTGTGATGAAAATGGCACTTGAAAAAGGTTTTATTTTTCCACTGAAGTTGAAGATTAATAAAATGGTGTCAGACATTCCCCTGGTCACACACTTTAATATTTTTTTAAAAGTGTGATGTGCTATGAGAACCATAAAGCAGACTTCGCTATTTTCCCTTTTACAAGGGAACAGGGCACCCGGAATTTTGGGTTTAGAATCTTTCAGCAATAAGGAGGGATGTCGGTGAGCTTTGACCCCCTTTTGGTTTTTGCAGTTACTAGTAGTTTTTTGCTGGCATTTTGAATATGCTGCTTTCAAAAACACCAAGGAAGATCTTTAATTGCTTCCTGGTGTTTGGAGGATTAAAAAACAAGACCTTAAATTCCCACTTTCATTTCCATTCTAGCAAAAGAAATGTGGGCTTACATTTTTCTCTTTGCCATTTTCCCCTCCCCATCCAAGCCTTCCATTCATAAGTGGGATTGGCTCGGTTTTGCTCATCCATATGGCAGCATCTCTAATCGCTCTTGTACAGGGTATCAGATATTGTGCCTTTTGGTGCCAGGTTCAAAGTCAAGTGCCGATCTATGAACCAGTGTACAAAAAAAAAAAAAAAACACACACACAAAACACAAAAAACAGGTGTTTGAAGGAAAGACTCCGTTGTGAATAAAGAGTTTGTACCACCTGCTAAGCCCTACTAAGAAGAGACCTGACCCTCTAATCCCGTTTAAATGTTAGTTGTCCCTTGAGGAGAGGGTGATACACTAACCATTCCTGATAGATAGGGGTTGGTCAGGGCTTAGGGAGGGGGCAGGAATGTTGGGGAGAAAAAAAAATCTGATCATTCCTCAGTGCTACCCATTTCTGTCCTGTGTGGGCTGCTTAGCTAGACAGCAGGAGAATAAAGTACACCGAGAACCATAATGGAAACAAAACCTTCCGTGTGTTTTGTCATGTTTTGTTCCAGGGAAGCAGTTGACAAGTGCTGTTATTAACGCTTTCTCCCAGATCCATTCAGTGATGGAGAGGAGGAAAATGGGCTGGTTGGACTGTGGTCTTGGTGCCTTGCAGGCGTTCTACACTGGTTATGCATTTAATCCTCTTTCGTAGTTACTTTTGGCTAGTGGGTTTTCCAGAGTCTGGGCTCTTACCCTGAATCGATTGTACCACCTAAGGTAACTGGGTGCAAGATGCATTCAGTCCACTCACTGTCCGGGCCTTCCCCACCCTAGTCTTGGCACATTCCTCCAAGAATGTAGTTACCGTCTGCTTGGGAAGATGTCAGTGCAAATGTGAAGCAAATGGGCATCGGACTAGGCTTTGGTTTGCCGTAAGTGGCAGCTGCCTGTATCAATTACGATTACATTTATTAATTTTGCTTTTCATTTTCCTGGTTCCCCTCAGCTCCCCTCTGTTGAAATGTTGAACTTCGGACTGTCAGAGGCAACTGTAATCTTGCCTTAGGGACTTGTGGAGAAAGGGAGGGGAAATGCTCAGTGCAGTGTTTTCACTTTCAGAACCAAGTAATCTAGTCCCTCTGATATTTAAGAAGTGTGTTAGTCCGACTTCTATGAGAAATCTCAACTCCATCAGCTTTTGATAGCATCTCGGTTTTGAAACAACTTCAGTCTGTAATTGGCATTCAGAATGCCCTTGGCATGCCAGTCTGTGATGGCATTAAAGACCTGTTAAAACACTTGAGCCCAACTTTATTAACCAAAACTGATACCACCATCTTTATCTTCTAAATAAAGTCCGCTTTATTTTTATTTTCAACATTTTGCTGCTTCATTTTTGGTTCCACATGGTGTCACCTTGGAGGCGAAATGAATGGTTTGAAAGAAGCTGGAACGTGTGGTGGTGATGTGCGTGTGAGTTGGGGAAAGGAAGGACACATCGGTCTTAAAAACAGACACTGCGTAGTGTGATGGGAAATGAGTGAAAATAACTGGCCTACAAAGCGGTGGGGAAGAGGTTTTTGTTCCGAGTGCTTCTGAACCCGCAGGAGATGGTCTCTGTCTTGTGCATATTTTTCAGGCGAATCTGGTTGGTTTAATGGCTCCTCCAAAATTGGCTTTTTACATGGCTTGCAGTGTGTATTTAATTTCTACTTCCACATCCCGCCCCCCCCCCCCCGAAATTTGTAGAGGGAAGAACACTAACTTGGGATTTAAGAGATTAGGTACGTTCTTCACTGTTGCTTATTAGCGTAGTGATGCCTGCAGGCTACTTTCTGGGTTTATGTTGGGCAAGTGAACTGAGGGCTGACCATAATTTTCCTCCCTTAGCCTCCATGTGGCCTTCCACTTTTCTGATTGCACCCCCGTCAGAAAGTTTTGATCATGCATACCCCCATGTGTTTATAAATTATATACCTGTACTACTGTACCCCTATATTGTGTAACATAAGACACAAAAATAGATATTAAAAAGCGATTATATGAAAAATACATAAATAGAAGTTCTAATATTTTATTTCTATGCCCAATTTTGGAGATTACTGGGTTATAAAGGGTAACTTCTAATTCTTCTAAGACATTAAATCCTGGGCAATGGCAGTCAACCAAGGACATTTCTCCAGGGAACATGCACCGAGAGAAAAACAATGATACCGGTTCGTGGCGCAGGGAGGGGCTGCTTCTCCCAGGAATTTTTTTCTTCCTTTTCAGGAGTTCTCCAGGTAATTCCCCGTTCCCACATACCCCTCCCCGACAAACACTCAAGAAGCGCACACAGTACGAGGCTACGGTTCCACCTGGCCTCACTAAGGGTTCCAGCTCCGACCTGCTGGAGGTGAAAAACACTAAACACTGAGAAAATGTTATGTGTCCCGTTGTATCAATTTTCACACCAACTTTGGCAATCACTGTTCTCATTTTCCTAATGAGAAAAGAGGCGCAGGAAGACATTCATCAGACCACGTGGAGCTCGAATTCAAAGCCAGGCGTCTCAGATACCAACACCCAAGCTTGTCTCACATTTGCCCTAGACAGATGCTGTCAGTGCCTTAGCGATACAAAACGAGGGTCTGTGCTGTCCATATTTGTAATGTGCCATGCATTTCCTTCGCAGCACTATCTAAAAGTCTATTTTAAATGTTTTATGGCCGGTTTTCCCGATTATAATGTAAGCTCCCTGATGCAGTGACCTTGGCTATCTTCCTTACCACTGTATCCCCAGCCTAGAGCAGTGCCTGACATATAGCGGACCTTCAATAAATACTTGTTGTCAGTACAGTTCGGGGAGTTGCCGGAAATGGCATCACCTAGCAGTATCCAGAAACCTGAGAAAGGAGGGCCTCAGGATACCTGGGCTCCCAGTTCTTCCCCCTCCTCATTTGCTGGATGACTTCAGGCTAGCCTCTTAGCCTTGAATTAGCTGGAGGAATGGGAACAAGATTAGTCAGTAGTCGTTGTGTGGTGTCTGTTTCATGCACTTACCCAGTGCCAGGCTTATAATAAGCATCTCATGTAGGGTGGTAGAAGTAATCCTCATCAACACTGTAACCAAGGTACCAACTTAGTCCCATTTTAGAGATGAAGAAACAAGCACAGGGGAGGGGCTAAGAACCTTGCCGCAAGTCACGTGGGCTAAGGCGGTGCTTGTCCCACTGGGCG